TTCTGGACATGGCCGTTGTGTGAAAAATTCGTATACTGGAACGGCCCGTTCTGAAATCAGAACGGCCCGTTCCAGCATTGAGAATAACACCCAATTTTTTAGACCGGAACAGCCATGGAACGGCCCGTTCCAGATGTAGGAACGGCCCGTTCCTTTTTAGGAACGGCCGTTCCAATATTGGAACGACCCGTTCCAATTTCGGAACAACCCGTTTCAAATTAGGGTTTTTGGCCTTTTTGGAGCCTTGGAACGGCCCGTTCTGGACCTTGGAACGGCCCGTTCCGATTCTGGAACGGCCCGTTCCGGGCCCAAAAAAAAAATACTTAATTTGTGCTTTTGGGCCCTCTAAAGTCCTGTCTTCTTGTCGGCATGTTTCGGGAGCTCCTTCCCTTCATAGTAGATGTCTATTTCATCACTTTTGTGAGTTCGGATAAAATTGATTATTCACAGTAGGCCGAAAGGCTGAGTTGTTGTAGGCCGAAAGACTGAGTTGTTGTAGGCCGTAAGGCTGAGTTGTTGTAGGCCGTAAGGCTGAGTTGTTGTAGGCCGAAAGACTGAGTTGTTGTAGGAGATCTCCGATGATATGCGTGACGACGCATTGTATGCTTATTGCTGATTATGATGTACAACCGATGAGATGTATGCTGACGAAGGGTTGATAGTTGTAGTTGTTCATATTACTTAAATCTTGCTATATGGTATTCTTTTATACTAGCTTACCCTTTGTTGTTTCCATGTGATTGGACTGCGATGATCATACTATGTATGGGAGCAGAGCAGGGATAGGTGGGTGGCTAGTGGAGAGTCTGCAGCTGGCAGGCGGAGCTGATCCTAGTAGATGTTTTGTTGTTTTCAGCTACTTGGTGTAGTAGCTTGGATGTATTTTTGTACATTTTGAATCTAGTCAGACTTGGACCATGTATATATGTATATTGTTGACACTATATGTATGCACTTGTTCCTTTCTGTCCGGTTTTCAGGTGTACTGTGCAGTGTGTAGTGACCCGCCGGGTCGTTACAGAATGCACCGGTCATGATGAAATAAATAGGGCTAATTAATTATGTTTTTTAGTTTTTAAAATTTAGGTCTATCTTTTTTACTCTTTTAAATTTAAAATTTGTATTTTTAATTTTAAAATATAAAAGTTATTATATTAATTTTCAAATTTAATTTTTTAATTCTTATAATTTTAAAAATACCATTTTAACTACTAAAAATATAAATTTTACATTTGAGAAATAAGATAATATTCTTTGAAATTATAGAGGTTAAAAATACGAGTTTTAAATAAAAAAATTTAAATTTAAGAAATTAAAAATATATTTAAACTAATAACGATTTATTCTTATATATATAAAAATAGGCATTTTTGATAACTATATTTTTTTTTTTAATTTCTTTAGTCATGTTTTACTATTGTATACAAACTATTTCTTTCTATGCTATTGCACAATTCACATGCAGATTTTCTCTTCTTCTTCTTTCTGCAAAAAATTATTTTATTGAATAAATATACTTGTATACAGCGGCTGCCTCTTTTTTTCTAATTAGCATATATATATATATAAATATTCCTTGACAATTTGATTATGTTATAAGTCAATTTGTTTCAAGTTTTAACCCTTGGCAAAACGCAACGGTAGGCACCACAACACAGCGCGAGAAGCAGCTTCAGTTTCACTCTTTCACTAAACGATGGGAGACTTCACGGTTGCGTTAAACCCTGCCAAAACCTTCCGCTCCGAGATTCTCCCCATCAATCGCACTTCCCCGGCGGCGCTTAGGCCCGCCACCGCAATCTCATTCAAATCGCACAGGCTTCGAGGCCCAGCAATTCGCGCTTCGGTGATGCCGAGAGAGGGTCAGCAGCAGCAACAACAACCCGCTCTTCTCAGCAGTCCTCGCAAAAGCGAACTCGCTGACGTCATCAGAAGAAGCGCACTCTCCAACTGCCTCTCCGAAACCAACCTCCACGCCACCGTTCCCGGTCTCCAGTCCAAAACCCGTGGCAAAGTGTGCTTGCTATCTTTTCATCGGTTTTTTTGTTTGTTTGTTTGTTTATTGGTTTGTGTCGTTGCGATTCAGGAATTGTTTGGCATGTGTTGGCAGGTTCGAGATATTTACGACGCTGGTGACCATCTCGTTTTAGTGACCACTGATCGTCAGAGTGCGTTTGATAGGATTCTCGCTTCCATTCCTTTCAAAGGCCAGGTTTGTGACTCGTTCGTGTTTTAATTGTGACTCGCTTGAGAACATGATTATTGAGCATCGTGAAATTGCTTTAGGAAACAATTTTTAAAACAAAAATGTGAGAATGGAATTAAGCAAGTTCTAATTCTCCCTCTCTCCAAATTTAAGAGATGTTAGAGCCATGTTATGCCTTGGAATTTTAAAGTTTGCCGTATTCCTGTCATGTCCATGTTATATATAGTATCCATGTCCTGTCTCATGTTATGTTCATGCTTTCTTATGTAGAGGAAAAACAGGAGTAATGCTGCAAGTACACTAAAAATTGTACAACTTGTAAAAACATTTCTTTTTTTTTTTTTTTTTTATCTTTCTCTATCACTTCATATATTATTGAGAGAGAGATTTATTAATGATGGGGAGAGATAGACAAAAAAGTAATGTTGTACAAGTTGTTGGATAAATTTTGTTGTCCATGTAATATTACTCAAAAAACAATTTTTATTATATGGGAGGAATAACCATTATCTGTGCACAGTACTTGTATGTATGTTTTTATTGCTCTTAACATGACACTTTGTGGTCGGTCTAGAGGAAAAGGAGATGATCCGGATCCTTAGCCTAATTGGCTTTGATGGAAAAGTTATAGATAAGAAAAATTATATGTGGAAAATTACTTTTTAGCTGGTGGAGTTTTGATTACTGAACGCTTGGCATTCAATAATCTGATCATTGTGCCTCGCAATTGCAGGTTCTCAATGAGACGAGCTTGTGGTGGTTTCAAAGAACTAAGCATATAGTTTCTAATGCAGTTGTATCTGCTCCAGATAAGAATGTTACAATAGCTAAGAAATGTTCAGTTTTCCCAGTTGAGTTTGTTGGTGAGTAATTTGCTAATTCAAAGAATTGTTATTTGCTTATTCAATGGCTTGATCAATGTTGATCCATTTTCTATGGTTAACATTTCTCATCACCTTTAGTTTTTGAAACTATATAACATAAAAGAGTGTTATCATGTTATTTACTTATGTTACTGGCTTGTAGCTAGAGGATTTGTCACTGGAAGTACCGATACATCGCTATGGACTGTCTACAATAATGGCGTTCGGAACTATTGTGGAAATGTCCTTCCAGATGGTGGGTTTTCTCATTTGTGTCTCATTCTTCAAATATATTCTCTCCTTATGTAATAGTATATTAGCACATGACAGGAATGGTAAAAAATCAGAAGTTGCCTGAAAATATACTCACTCCAACAACCAAGGCTGCAGATCATGATGTTCCTGTCACTCCAGATGAGGTATGATGATTAGGGTTATTACTTGTAAACATGGCTGAATTATATAAATGAAAAAAAAAATATAGTCTATAACATAAAAGGAGTTTAAATTTCTCAATATGACAAAAAAATATCATAATAAAATACTAATATATAAATGTTAATCAATATTTTATCACTTAAGCTTGACTATGGTATCAAACTAACAATTTTAATCTTATGATTTCTTTGTCCATTGTTAGTGAAAAGAATCACCTCTAAACTTGATTCATCAAGAGCAAGATAAGAATTCAAATAGATCCTCTTAAAATTTGGGTGAGTCTAATTCAACTCTATAAAACCGGCTTGTTAAATGAGGGTTAATCCCTCACTTATATACACTACTTTGTCCTTATCATTAGTTGGTGTGGGATCTCATACATCTCTTCATGTTGAGGAATGGGCATTTCATACGTGAAGTTTGTAGAATTGGGTATCTACGTGTGTTCGATAATCACTTGATGGGCCCAACAATAATAAATGAGGTTGGACCTCAAAATGTTGCCCAAATCATTACATATTATGCACTAGTTGAATTTATCCATCCTCACAGATTCTGGACATCATGTGTAGTGAACACATTAAATCTTGCTTTAAAAACATATTTGTGCACCAAAAAATACACCTAGATGAGGTTGCTTACCAAGAATGTCATTGGATTTATGGCACTGTTGTTGATTTTTTTATAAAGAGTTTTATTATGAATCATTCCATGAAGCTAGACATGTTTAATCAAGTTAGTACTTTGGAGTCACTTGTTATTGTTGAGACTAGATTTGCCTCAACTAGGGATGACAAATAAATCCGTACCCGTGGGTAATATCCAAATATGTCTTGACTTTGATGGGAAATACTCGATTTGACCGGGTACGGGTACAAATAATATCTAATTTATTAAATTGGGTACAATACCTGATTTATTAAATTGAGTACGAAGATTAAGATGAGTATACACATACTCTCCTTGTACTCGTATCCGTTTTAAATTTTTAAAAACTTAATATATTTTTTTTTCAAATTGACTTGACATTAATGTCAAATGAATTTTAATTAATGTAATTTTGTAATTTTTACTCTATGTTGAAATTCTTGTGTTTTTAATATTTTTTTTATAAAAATATTTAATTAATTTTTTGGGCGAGTACAAGATGGGTACAGGGACACAAATCTCATACCCATTGAGTATGGGGATGGGTATAGGGTATGGGAACAGGAACAGGGATGGGGACAAGGATAGTGAAACCTGTACCCACTTTGCTCTATTGCCATCCCTAGCCCCAACCGTTAAAAAGTTTGAGAATGATTAAACATGGTCTCATTAGAAAAGACATGATTTGCAAAAAATGACTTTTATGAAGGAATAATTTTAAAGTGATATCAAATTGACTTTGTTCTAAGACTTACAAAGCTCATGTATGACATATATCTTTCTTGTGATACTAAAGAACCAACCTTTAATTTGGTTATGAGCTTTTGAGAAAGTGAATTTTGCAATATGACAACACGAGGACAAGGAGTTGGATGACTTGAATCCTTTTATGAATATGTGTATACCATTCTAACTAATTGATAGATGGAGTAAAAGTCACACTCCACTTCATTGTTTGACACAATCACTTAATCCAAGGTAAATTTAATTAATTTGCAACTTTCAATTTGTTTTAGCCTTTCTTTTAATTTATTTATTGTAATTAACTTTCATGTATTGCTAATACTTTGTATAATAGGAAATGACTTGAGGAAGTTCAAAATCAAGTTTCCCTCATAGGGACAATGAGATTTGTATAAAGAGAAACAAATGTCTTAGAAACTACTTTTTAGATCCAAACGAAAGCATGTGGGTAAGGCAACAAAATTCTTTGTTGTTGGAGAAGAGCTTGCCCAATTTGATTCCTTACAAGATAGATGAAGCTTGAAATTGAAGGAATGGATTGGTGGGTCATGCATGATGTTGCAATCCCAAACTTTAATAGTTAAAATTAGTTTCACAACCATCCTTGTCTTCTTGTTGGAGAAATTGGAGCACATATTTCTTTTTCCATTTTATAAAAAAGAAGCAGCTTCAACCTTAAGAGAGTTGAAGATTTATTTTTTATACTTACAAATCATCACCTCTTCTAACAAAAGAGTAGGAATTATGAGGTTGAGAGCTAATTGTGGGATGTTGGTGGAGATGAATGAAATTCATTAAAAGTTTCCTACCTTTCTCTCAATGAACCAAATTTAGTGGTGATTCTTTTTTAGTGATTATGAACAAGCAAATCATGAGATTAAAATTGTGAAAGTGTGATATCATAGTCATCAAGTCATGCTTGGATGCTATAATATTGATTGTTGAACATTTTTGTATTGTAGTCTTTTATTATCAGATATTTTTGTCTTGTTGAAGAATTTAATCTCCTTTGATGTTATACATTATGCTTATTGGAATTATAACTTGAACATTGGACACAAACTTTGAAAACAAAGGATTTTTGCTTAAGTGGAAGTAAGATAAAATATATGCACTAAAATTTTTGCAAGAGAAAAGGTTGTGATGTGGAACTAAAAAATGGGATATGTCATATCAAATGTTCCTAAATGTATATATCTGAGATGAATACTACACTGATAGGGAAATTAATTACGATATCACACATAGGATACTAGTGGGATGGTTAAAATGTAGGAAGGCATCGGGAGTTATTTGTGAATAGTGACCACAAGTACCTGCTGAAGTTGCCTGAAAATATAC